TGAAACCCTTGACTCAACTAAGCATTAAGGAGAAACTATGGTGGCCACGAAACTCGCAGAAAACCCAAAAGGCCCCATCTAGTGCCAGTGCTTGGTTTGAATATGATAATACAATATCAATTTATTGTTATATTTAGTTGCTGCTTTTGCTCATCATCATTTCTCAATCTCATCTTCATCATTTGAAGATAAGCAAAGCAGTAACAGCACTGGCTTTTATAATAATGTGCAGCTGGTCTAATGCTGCAGCTGAAATTAATTTAAAACACTGGCATTAGTAGTAGGCTGGGTTTATAAATCAAATTTTATGGAGGTAATGACACTGCAATAAGAAAAGAATACAAGTAATACAGTAATGAATACATTTCATTAGAATCATGCCCTCAACCTATTACATTGTAGTAACATTGCCTGTGAACTATTATGAGCAACCCTCTGCATGTGTACCAGTTGATTACACCATAAACTATTCAAGTTTACAAGTGCTTATTAACAATCTGGCCATTGTTTGGCCTCCTTGTGTTACATTGGCAGGAACTGTAAGGGCATGGGACCAACTACCATCATTATGCCAGTTAAGCCTTCTCCTAGGGGTAAAGGGGCTGTGAGGGACTTTTGGAGAAATCAAAACACCAAAGGAGAGCCAACTCTAGTCGTTGACAACAAGGTCATGGGCATAGCCACATCAGGTAGAATAGGCACTTGCAAGGGTGCTACTAAAAAGCACTAGCAATGCTCGATGTCCTGTTGTGCCAAACTAAACGCCAACACAATGCAACCAGGACCCTAAAGACCAGACCACACGTGCCTGACTCTTTCCAACACAAACAAGGTCTACAGAACCTTCCCTTGCTGCTTCTGTTGCCGGCCAACAATAGCAATAGCAATGAATAGCTTTGTCAGGCTGTCAGCCCTTTAAAAGAAGACCTTTGCCAAGCTGTCTGAGGCTCAATCTGTTTTCACTGAGCCAACGTTCACTATTGTCTTTCATTGTCCTCTTCATCTCATTGTTATACAGGGTATGGTAGCGGGGTGGCTCTGATGTCTTTTTGAATTTGATGAAGCTGACCTGATATACAGAAGTGCCCTCTGTCCACCAGCACTATGAATATTGTAGGCAAATGAGATGGGGGAGAGAAAGACAAAGAGAGATTGCATTCAAACGTGTGTGTGTGTTTGCACATATGCATGGACCTTACACACATTTATTGGCTGGATGATGAATTATAAAACTGTGCAGGGACTAAGAGACAGAGGGGATAACTGACACTGCCTATCCATTTGCATGTGCTGTATGTATGTTTGTATGCCCGGTGCATGGAGATGAAAAGAAGTTTGGAATTGCAAGGATTCATATAAACTGTGGATGAATGGTGAGAGCCAAGACTGTCTGCCAGCATTCAGGGATGTGTACATCATCTCTGAGGCGTTGATGGGCCCTAATGCAGAATAAGGAGAGCCAATCAACTCCTATCTATCCACTCTGCCAGGGTGACACATTGTAGGGGTACTTCAAGGCCAGCACACTGCCACATTCTGCTGACAAATCATTACATTAGACGTGTCGACGGAGAAGGAAGATAATAAGATTGAGTTACAGAGCTTTAGATGCATTATGAACACCTCTTGCTTCCTTGATTCCTTCTATTTTCACTATTCCTTCCATTTATCAATTTCTCGCTTGCTTGTCACTTGTCTTTTTGCAAAAAATTGCCAGGGCACAATTTTAAACAGAGCTGAGTTTTGTAGCGTTTTATTTAAAGATAAGTGTTACAAGACCAGTTAAAACTGAGCCGTTGTTTATCAGAGCTCGTCATCAGCGTACATGAATACAAGAGAGGTTTGTGGAACTGCCAGGTTACTTTTTCAAGGTAATTCATTAGTACCAAAAAAAAGTTTTTGTAAACTGATAAAAACCATTGGTATCATACCAGGAGCCCATGTTTACCACCTTTGTTATAAAATATTAGTAATAATATTTAACTAATGATAGTGGTACCTGGGTCAATAAATGTTTTTAATCAGAAACTACTTACCATTTTAATAAAATTAATTGCCATCAAATTTGTCATGTCCCAGTAATAAGCAATTCTTTATCAAAATTGTGAAAAGTTCCAAACAACACGATGATATATGCATAGACCCTTTAGTCAAATATGTTTGTTTTTTCTCTTTCTTTTCTTTCTTTCACCATTGCAATTCCATGATTTATTTACTTTCATTTTAGGTGCACACAATCACCCACTCCTTCTAACATTAGCAAGATGGTAAGTGCATTTCCTTTTAGAATTGCCCAAGCCATGCAGACACATCCTCCTACTCTGTATGTGTGTGCAGTTGTCCATGTGGATAAATGGTGATTGGCGTGTGGCTGAAAGTGGGTGGTGTAGAGTGATTAATCAGCATAATGAGTGTAGATGAGCACTGTGCAGATGGAGCCCACACTCAGGACTGTGTCACACAGCAGGAAGTCTCTTTGCTCCCCTTCAGTGCCTCTGTATAGCTCTAACTGTGTTTCTTAAGCATGTGTCACTTGCTTCCTTGTTTAATTTGTGAGCTCATTTCTGCATGGTTTTTTTTCTATAATCATTTAACTCCTATTTCACCAGGAAGGCTGGCTAAGTATACAGTGACATTGTCAAACAAATAACAATGACTCTGTTAGTTTTACTTCTCTTGACAAATGGCACCGCACAATACTGAGTAAATTAAGAAAGACAGAAAAAAGATACAGACTATGTAACCACTCAAAGGTTTCTAAAAAAGCCTCTAAAAAAATTATGTTTCAAAATTATGTTTTAATCTCATAGTAAAATATTGGTAAGAGCAAAGCCGCAGTTGTATAACTATAAGACATAATTATTACTTTTAATATTATTAGGCAATACTGATTATTAGTGTTGCACATAAAAACACTGCAAGTTAATCAAGGATAAAGCAGCAATTCTGGCTTGTACATACAAAACAATACACACAAGAAGGAAAGAACAGAGACAAAATATACTTGCAGTAAATAAACATTTGTCTTAGAATACTGTCCTTATTGTCTAGTCCAGGCTTTATTCTGTCTTTAGCATCATTATCTAACCAGCAGTGACACACTTGCCAGATGTGGACTCCTTCTGCAACGATAAGTTAACTCAGTTGGTCCTCCCGCCTCCCCTTGGATTTTGTGACATTAGCTTGGTTCCCAGATGCTTATGCTGACTCACACACTTGTTCTCATGAGCCTTGTTGAGCCTCCCTCTCTCTTTTTTTTTTTAGCAGCATCATTGCCTTCCTTCATATGTATCAAAGGGGTAAAAGGAAAGAGGTAAGGGGGATAGGAACCGAAACCCTTCACAAAGATGTGCTTGTATGTGGGAACAAAAACATTCTTGTCATTTGACCACCTGTCATGTCCCTAACACCGCTGATTCAAGTGCTTTTCAAAGTGAACTTGAAGGTTACAGTGGACGCCTGTATGATAGTAATGTAAGTAAGAAAAGTAAAATCTCAGAATGGGTGGTGTAGGTTTTTTTTTTCTTGTTTATTTTTTAGGTCTTTTTTGCAGTATATCGGTTAAAAGCCATGTCAATGTAACTGAGATAACTCAAAGGACCATTGTGTAGGGTTTAGTGGCCACTAGCGGTGATGCTTCAGACTGCAACTAACTGAACACTGCTCGCATCTTTATTTGACGACCAGGGAATAAGAACAGGCTGTGAAGTGTGTTGGAGAAGCTATTCGTCTAAACTGGACAACTATATAAGTGCTAGACTGCTACAACCAGTCCGACCACTTGTGTGGGGCTGTGTGCAACCAGGCCTTTGTGGGGATGTGTTGGGGACACAACTGCCCTGCTGGCAACTACAGAAAGGCTGAAGGTTGGAGAAGGTCAATACCTTAACTTCCTTTCTCCTTCACAAAGCCGAGGGGGGGCTCTGCCATCTTAGAACGTACACTCTGTACTTTCTGCCAGATTGCCAGCCAATTAAAGGTTATCAGAGCTCAAAATAATAGTCCTGCAGGCCAGCTCTCTAGATAGGCCCCATCTAAATATATATTGCCTCACCGCCTTTTACTGGTGTCTGGGATCCAAGCGGTGGGGAGGAAGCAGACTAGCTCCTGTGCAAGGGTTTGTTGATAAGCCATATGGGAAAGGACATATATATCAGTACAAAGGTAATGTTTTTTATTTTATTTTTTTATTTTTTCCAAGGTAGGAAACATGCATAGACTTAAGCTTGAAAGCTGCACTGAAACGACGTGCACTGCTGGTTGTAAAAAATAAATAACATTGCAACTTGCCTACACTTGTGCACACAACACAGTGTATCACTGCCAAGATTATATTGAAATTAAATCTTTTATTTGCTGCTCAGCCCCGAGGTCTACACCTTCTATTTCTGAAATAAAACAGAAACAAAAGAACACAGGGATTTTCTTAGTGCTTAACATAAGGACAGTGCAAGAAATATTAATGGAATTGAGGCTCACGCTGCCAAGTAATGAACCTTCACCTCAGATGTACCCACCTTGCTTTCAATTAATGCTTTCTGAGACAAGAAAAACAGAAATAAAACGGGAGCAAAAACAAGTAGCCTTTAGAAAGCTCATCAATTATGGTTTAAGACAAAGGCAAGAGGAAAGGAGGGTGGAGTTGGAGAGACTTTGCCAAGCCTTGTCCTTCATCATCCATTATAAGAAGATGAATGGGGGGTCTCTGTGGTCCACATGAGAATGAGGAGACTGACTTGTGCCAAAAACAGACCACAGCAGGTTTAAAATGGGGTCGCCAAGCTATCCGCCAGACACTGAAATTTAAAAATTAGCTTTTCATGTGAATATGCAGAGAAAGTCTCTCTCTCACACACACAAGTGCACACTCAGAGGGTAGAAATAAGCGTGTGTGTGTGTGTGTGTGTGTGTGTGTGTGTGTGTGTGTGTGTGTGTGTGTGTGTGTGTGTTTGTGTGTTTCAGTGAAAGAACTAACACACCACAATGAACATCAGTCTTACCTGGATGAGTGATTCGCTCAGTCTTTCCTCGTCTACCTCCAGCACAATGTCCCGGATCTCTTCATAAGGCAGGCGGAACGAGCCCAAGAAAATTGCTGTTGTGATGGAGAGAGAAGAGAGTCATTTCCTCTCCTTTTTTTATTAGACCGCAGGGTTCAAAGAGACATTTCAGCACTCATCGCTCCTCAGACAAAATGACCACAGACCTAACTTGACACTTGGAAAAACTAATACACTTTCTGCCCCTCAACAGGATAGTTTGTGTCACCCTGACAAAAATTGGGAAGGAAAACATCAAGCTTTACCAGTAACACTGAAAGGTGCCAAAGTAATCCAATTTCTGCTCAATTGTTAATAAAAAGTGAAGCATAAAAATGATCATTATAAACAGCGGAATTAGTTGTACTTGATAGAAGTAATGGTGTCATCTGGGAAGGCTAAATGGTTCTGTTTTGGTGGATACAAAGAAGTACACTGAATTTGCCTCAGGGGACAGCCTGGTGGGTGTTTCACTCTCCAGGTGGGGTGTCTACAGTGTAAATTGGAGCTGATGGTGTATCCAGGTGGAAGTCACAGGTGGAGGTTTGGTAATGAGTTGGAGGAGAGTCGCTCAACAGCTGCTACACTGCTGCTGCAGTGGGACCTGATGTCTGTATTTGACGTGGAACAAACGGAGAGGTAGTGAATCCTTTTCCCTTTTTTCACAGTCTATTAATGTTTATTAGACACTATTTACTGCATTTACTTACTACTTAGTTATAACATATCATGGCTGTAGGTTTATTCACTTGACATGAACCTTTTTGGCTTCACTGTGTCAGGTTTCTGGTGGGAAAGTTGTTCCATCAAGACTAATCTGAACATATCCTGTTGGTTATCTATATTTATGTATTTATTTGCTCATTAGCATGATGTTTTCTTGACTGGGGTGCATTTTTATGAACATGTCATCCTCATTTGTTTTCTAAATGCAGTCTCTTATATATATATATTCCTTATATAAAACCAACAGCTGGATACAAGGTTCTCTTGGGGGTGGGTTGTCATGAGTAATCCTTGGATATATTGTAAATTACAAACTGAAGTAGATACAGATGAGATAGAAAATGCAGGTGACAATGACAAGCTGAGAATCCAAATTTTGCTGCCATCTAGCAGTTGAATTTCTACCTTGCTGTATGCTCTGTGTCAGTGATGGGTGTGGCCAGCCTACACCTGCATACAAACCTAACTGCGTCAAAAGCGCAAATGGGCAACATTCAAATGGCCTTCATAGTATATTGCTGGTTTTCCCCTTCAAAGTTGCTGTACTTAACATTTGACTCTTACATATAATCTCTAAACAGAATTTTTTTTTATTGTATTGTAATTCCTCAGTTGTTTCTTTATGAATTAATTTTGGTGAGAAAGGCATTTCAGTGAGATGCCATCTACTTGTGTTATGAAAATTGTTTAAAATTACACAATCAGTTAGAGTTTACATTAGTCGTAGTTGCCTTGGGAAGTCACTGTTCAAGGATGATTTATAGTTTACAGTTAATTGACAGTGTGAGCTACAGGGCCTATGGCCCTTTTCAACCTCTCTTTCTATCCCTTTCCTGTCTATCCTCAGATGTCTTATTCAATAAAGGCAAAAAGCCCCCCATATATTAAAAAAAACTAAATAAATAAAAAAAAAACTGTGTGAGCTATAATATATGCCAAGCCGTCGTACACAAGTATATTGTGTATCTGCCAAACCCAACATAAAGCAATTTTAAGTTTGCCTCTATCACTTTCTTCAACAACCACATTTTGACAAAAGTGAATACACTTCAGTTTTAAACATCTTACAACTTACATAGGCCATGCATACTTCTGGCTTACATTATTATGTAGTTTCCTTTTCTGAACTTATTATTAGCATTTTAAGCTATATCAAAGTGATTGCTTTTTATTCAAGGTTGTAAAAAAAAAATACATATACTTATATCTGATACAATATAAAACTTTGTTCTAGCACCAACACTTCTCAGTGTTACAAATAATTTACTGATTGCTAATGATTAAAATGTATTTCTCTCAATTATGATTTATCTTGATTTGAGGTCTGCATTCCATACAATAGGCCACTCTAATTTAATTACACAATAGAAAAATCTGATGCCATTAAGAATTGTGCCCAGCTCTATGCACCTCTATAGCAATTTTTCTAACCTTTTTCTTGATGGGACCCTTTTTCTATGTTTGAGTCAACTGACAACCCCCGGATTAAGTGACATATTTTATGGATATTTCATATTATAATCAATGCATAATAAAAACATAACAAAACAACTTATAAATTGTACAATTAAACCTCTAGCGTGTAGGATTTAGTGGAATCTAGTGATGTTATTGCAGATCGCAATTCCCTCACTTCACCTTCTCCTTCCAAAAGTGAAGGAGAAACTAAGGTGGCCACAAAACATGCAAGAAACATGAAAGGCCTTATTAAGAGCCAGTGTCTAGTTTGTCCCTCCTGGGCTACTATAGAAACATGGTGGTTCAACACAGCAGAATCCATGAAATGCGACTCACAGTATCTGCAGATATAAACGGCTCATTCTACGGTGACAAAAACAATTCCTATATTCAAGTGATTATACACTAATAAAAACATAGTTATGCACATTATATTCCATTTCTACCAATAGATCCTGCTAAATGTTACACACTGGACCTTTAACAAAAGTAGTGAACACAATAAATGCCTGTGAATAGGGCTGTCGCAATAACCGCAATAATGAAATACCGTGCTCATGCCACTGCCACAATCAACAAGAGTGCGTCCAGAGCAGCAAAGCTGAAGTGACACTATGCAGCAGAAGCACTGTCTGAAACTCACCGCTACTCAATATCCCTCAGTTCACAGCTCAGGATTACGATACCAGATAGGAGAAAGACACGTAGCCTCAACCTCGCACGCTCTGGAAATACTGGAAACACCAGCAGTTTTCTAGCAGAAAATGCTAAAGGGTCTACTAATTATCCCAATTTATAAATGTAATTAGGAATTACATACTATTTACAAGGGGAATATGGCAGTATGCAAGTGGTAGTGAGAGTTAGTTTAAAGTTTGGACTGAAATTACATTGTTAAAATTAAAAAACTAGTTATTACAGAGAGAGAGTAAAGTACCGAAAAAATCTATCATCGGGTATATCGGGTCAAATACGAATAGTACCCAACCCTAATCAGTGGATCAAGTTATTTAACCTGAATCATGTCCTGTCTCACAGGATTAAAATGCTGCATGTTAGAATTTTCACCTACTTAAAGAGTTTCATTTAACTCAGTCTACTTGCCCTTTAGCTTCCTTTCAATCATAACTTGGTGGTTTATCCACCAATATAAAGAAAACTGCCAAGTAGGATCATAGTCAAGATGGATTTCTTTTATTCACTGCAGTAAGCAAAAGTAGTCTGTGTGTAGCTTGTCTCATCTCGATAACTGTGATTCTTTTCATTCAGAGTCAAGTCAAACGTTCACCTATAGCTTATTGTAAAAGCAGTTTTTTAGACAGACAGTGTCTACATGTTTATCAGAAAGTGGTATGCATAATCATTATACCAGAATACAAAAGTGGCACTGACATCACAATCATTCATTTTGTCCTGTTACCCATCCCAGTCACTGAACCTTCAATACTAACACACATCAAAATTGAAAAGAGAGCTTAGAGGGTTCCGCAGCAGGCAGTGAATATGATCTATGAGGCTGTAGTATGTGTCAAGGCAACTCGGGGGAGCTGTGTAGCCGTGTAGGACCACATGCCTCCCACCCATTGCCATTCTGGAGGTGAGATTTTCTACACTTATTTTTGCTTCCTGCCAAATTCAAAGCCCATCTGCTGGGGCTGTAATCAAAGATGGCAGTGACACCTATCAACATTGTCACAGCCCATAAACAAGTGCTATGACATGCGCACACTAGCACTTAGTCAAATGCGTACACATGATCACATGTGCACACACACACACACACACACACACACACACACACACACACACACACACACACACACACACACACACACACACACACACACACGCACACACAGAGAGACACTTCTATGTGTCATCATATGTTATTGCCACATGCCCCTTCCTGACATAAGATCCCAATATTTTGCCTGATGAACTCATTCATCTGGCCTCTGTTCATGGAAGATGCAAAAATATGAAGCGTCACTTGATATCACCAGAAAACAGGAAGGAAATCGGTTCAGAGGCACATGTAGTTGTTAATGTTTCTATGTATATGCATATCTCAGCTTATTTTCACATTTGAGTTTGCTATCCACGTAAATATATACTAATATCCCAGTCTATAGTATGCCATTCCCCTCTCCTTGTGCTTTAAGAAAGGTAAAAAGAAACAGATATGGTGGAATAGGGTGACATGTAATCTTAGCATTTTAAATGTATATTTCATGAGGTGTTGCCATCTACATTGTCTTTCTAAGGTTAGGGCTGTCAAGGTTGCAGATAAAATCCCAAAGATTTGGGGAAACATCTACCCACCAATCAACACAAGATTGCAAGCAGTCACTCAATTTGATTGTATGATGAATTCGTACACACATTTGATGGATTTTGGATCAAGGAGGTACATATGGAGGAGAGACGGTGCAGAGGTTGAGTGACAGGTTAGTGAAATTCTAAGGCAGGAGGTTTTTGGAGATCATTTGCATCTAATCTAAAATGATCCCCAACCCAAAAAAATACAAAAATAAAGAAAAACTTGGAGGGTAAGGTAAATGCTGCACACCAGCAATCAACTAAATCAACTAAACATTTAGTCCACTTAGGCTCCTGGGGATTCAAAACAGCCAGATTTAGCTTCAGTGCCAAGTTCTGATAGGAATTAACTTTACACATGATTACAGACAGGGAGCTTGGACACAGTTTATATGCACTTGTGGTGACCGCTAAACAACTGCCAAGAAAACGTTTCCCCAAAGGGCTCAGTAAAACACTATCACTGTTGAGGGCTTTCTGCTGTTTGTTTCAGTTTTGTTGAGGGGTATGAAAAAGCCTTGGGTGTCATGGAAAATAACACTGACATTTCTGACATAAAATGTCATGGTTAAAAAGAAAATAATACTCCAAGAACTTTTGGTTTCAAACATTAGGTTATTGGCTGTAAAATAACTAGGTAACTGCTTATACTTACAAAGATTCTGCGCTGTCTTGGCATCCAAGATGCGAAGCTCCTTCGCCTTTTTCTTGAATTGTTGCATTCTGTCGTCTGTCTCATCTTTTACATCTTTTTTCACTGCAGGGAGAAAAAACAATATTTTCAGAATTACTAAATTGAAATTTTAGAAATTATATGCTAGCACTGTACATTTATGCATATTAAAACATAAGCTGATGAGTAAGATGACAATGGATGATATAAACCAGTTAAAAAACATCAACATCATCACAACAGCAAACAGCAAACAGCATTTTGGTTTCAAATCACGCAAAACCATCGAGCTACTATTTGAACTACTAATGCTGAAATATTTGGTTGGCTATTTAATTTATCAACACTGGGGTGTGTCCTACATTCAGTTCACTACTAATAAACCACAATTGTACTCACAAACCACATTGCTAAAATAAGCCAAATGGAAACACTGCGGTTCAGCTGGGTAAAAATGTGTTGTCTTCTTTGTGTCATCGTACATGATGTATGACATTGGTTTGTTGAAAGGCAGATGTGATTCATGACAGCCCCCTTTAACATTACACTGGAACTACATAATGTGCAATACCATCAGCTGTGGCATCAGAGCACAGTCCTGCAGATAACTTCCCCCTCTTCATTTATTTGTGTGTGCCATCATTTCTGTCATTGTGACAGTGGGTAGATGGCTGATAAGCACAGCTTCTTCCCTTAGGCCCTGTCTGTCAACTTGCTAGAGCCAAGGAGATAATTGAGTAACCCCCAACAATCCTAGAAAATGGCATTAAGTCTGTTACATGACTGAACACAATAGACAAATTTGTCCAAGAATGAAGAGACCTTTGTTTTCATAATAGAGACATTATGGAGTCTCTCTGGGGAAACACCACATGTCAGTGTGTATTACTCTTCATTTACACTTCAATAACATCAAGTTCTAAAAACATAGGTATCCATGTACAAAAGGTCAATAAATGGGAATTACATTACTGCGGAAGGGTGAATGAGAATTTTTCACAATAGGGAAGCAGCAATATGAAAGAGAAGATTCCTTAGGCTCGTCTTTCTCCTACCGATGGCTTATGGGAGAGGCAGCACACTTTTTTGTAATCATCACAACTGCTCTGTTTAAGCCCAAGGTGGGAGTCTCCCAGGAAATCTAGAACAAACAATCTGCTCCCATAGCACTGGCTTGCATATTTGAAGAAACAATCAAAGAGGCAACATCTCCTGGGCAGCAAGAAGAAGCAATGCTGAAGGCACCTGCCTAACTCCGGTGCTTGCTGTCAACATATGACATCAGGGATGCAGTTGTTTACTGTATTAAGTAGTGCTAAAAAGGGTTTAAGTATGTAGCAATGTTACTTATGGTTTGATTTTCTGTCAACATCTGAGGATGTTCCTTAGAGAAAGAGAAATAGCACAGTCTCTGAGAGAGACTGTGCTATTTAACTTTAGGTCCACTCGGACCAAGGTACACAACAAGCTGTATCACCTTCATATTCAGTGGAGCTCGGGGATACACTTCAGCCAGTGGCTTGAACTTTTATTTTTGCGAACAGCAAAAGCAATGTGGTGAGATGCAAGACTTTAGAATTCAGTTTCTAGCCAATTAATATGAAGTGAAGGTGTTTTAACAGGGCACAACCCTTTGATTAGAGCCTGCTATAATGTTTTTCTGATGAGTGCAAAATCCCACACACTTGGTTTGTTTTACCACTTCCATGAGACAGTGTTTTGCTTCATTCTTTGTCAGGATTACGTCACCACCACTTACAAACATTAAAAACTCTTTCAATAAATGACTTTTTGGATCCTCGCCTTAAAGAGGGTCCACTTTTTTCAATTACAGTGGTACTTATTTGTTAATTGTACAGGTTTATCTGGCGAGAAGGTAGGTGAAACTAGAGAAAAAAATATGCCAGGCCCTGTAATGCCAAAGCATTTGTCTGCTTTCAAATCAAAGAAAATATAAATCCAATTTCCAGGGTTAGGTTTTTTTTTATGCCTTTGTTTTTAGAGTCTGGCAAACATATCTCTTTTGGTGTCAGCAATTTTCAGAATCAGAATTTCTCTAAACCCACCAAATAAGACGGACACAAAATAAATATTAATCACTTCATAAATAAATCCAATGACCACAACATTACAGCTAAAATATCCTGACTCACATATACTGAGTAAGTAACCAGTGAGGCCCAAGGAATCTTGCCGGATTTCTTATGTGGCAAGAGCCTTGGACAAAGAAACTGGAGAGCCAGCAAAAATAAAACATGAGGAAACAATGATCTCCCTTAGAGAATGGCCCACAGACAGAGGGCAAATTAAACTGAGAGGGGGAATTTGGCTGCTTTTCGCACTAAATTGTTCTCTTAAAACCTCCATTCTTTTCTCTACTGCCACTTGAATCTCTCACCCAGGTACCTTACACTCTCAGCAGGGTGCTCTCGGCCCATTCGTCAGTGCCTCAGCTGTCTTCGCCCTTACCCCCAGGGCCCCATGCTATCTCAAATTAAACAGAAAAACAGTGCCTTTAATATTCTGAAACAGGCACATTCCTTTGTGATGCCATCCGAACCAGCTCAGAGCTCCCCCGCTGGGCACTGAGTAGTGGCATCAGTTGGCTGATTTCTGCTACAGTATTTGCTGGCTGACTCAATTATGCCACATGTCACATGTTTCCTCTGAGCACTGCATGTGGACTGATGGGCCCTGGAGGGCTTACGCACATTTGAGCTGCCACGCTAGTTGGAGTCCCAGGTGTGTGGAGAGGATGACTATAGGTGACATAATTCAACCAGATGGTTGGCCACAATAAGTTTTATAAATGTTTCCAAAACACAAATGTTGTCAGGTAGCAGTTGTAGTCATACTTAGACTGAGTTAAACAGTGACAAAAGTTTTAGTTTTTCTCTTTATTAAACTGCAACTTTGGAAATGCATGTCCATCTAATTATTTTTTCTGCCAAGAAAGCTTAACCTGTCCAACAGTGTAGGTCCTTAACAGCTGATCAAAGTCCTTGCCAACATTTAAACGTGTTTTACTAGTTGCCCAGTGGCTAAATTGTAATACTCTGACAACAATGCCATCCCTCTTGCACAGATTTATATTTGTTAATGGAATCTCCCGAGCAATAACTCAGTAAAGAGCCATTTGTGATGAGTGCAGTTTTTTTGGCAGCTCGCTGGTTTCCTTGGAGCCATTGTGTACAATGGTTACATAAAGTCATATCACATAGAGACACATTATCTCTGTGTCAGGCTGTCAGATCAATACATAATGTTAAAATCTTAAACAAGCTAACTTACAAGCAGCCCAATAATTTATTAATTGATATTTTGGGTGGAAACATGTGACAGGAAGGTGTTATTATCCAGACAAACTCAAAGTCTTTGAAAGACTAGAGAAAATCTGTTGAAATATGAACAATGCTTCCTAAGTTTGGACCCACTGTATTATGTAGAGCTCAACTTCGGCGTAGCTGATTCTTGGGCCAGATGGTCCTCTAAGGGAAATGATAGGGTCAGATACTTTTGACTTGATATTGGCCATGCAAGTTTGAGAAGAGAAAATGTACCAATGAATTATAAATAGTTAGTATTTCACACTGATATGTTGTAATATATTAACTTACGAGGGTGAAGAGCTTTGAGATGCATGTCAAGGAGTAAGTGTTTCAAAACCATGTTTTAACAAAAAACATTAAAAGATTCACTAAATCCAACATAACCACATGAAGAGAAGTCTCTGGTGAACATAACTGTTACACATTTCATTAACTGAGGGGGAGTTGAAGCTTGCTCCGTGCCAAAAGGAGTCACCAAATTGATAGAGGTTCCATTGAAAAAATACATGAATGTTTGAGCAAATACAGATTTGGCTTACTAAGGATGACTTGGCATCCATGTTAAGCCTACACTGTGGGCCTTGGACTGAGGTATACCCTTGGGAAGCTCTGTGATAACAAGAGTTCTCCAACACTTGGACATCCTGTCTGTTTGTTGGCCCAGAATCACTATCTTGGTTGCCTTCCATGTGATATCTCCCTCAAGACGTCCATAAAACCCAGGGCATTACAAAGCTAAACACTACCACATGTTCACTTCCGGACACAGACCATCCGGCTGAGCCACTCCACCAGACACCATAAAATGATCAGGCCTTGAAGACAAATAAAAGAAAGTACAGATGACAGGTCTTCAACAAACATATTTACAGTAAAGGCAAAGGAACACATACTGGAACAGACAATGTGGAGTCTGGTCCACTACGAAGCAATTTATTCCCTCAAATGTGCAATCTGCCTGCAAACATGTGCCCTGTCCTCCATCTCAGGGACTCACACTGAGGATTGAGCTGCTGGAGAGCTGCCAGCCTGTCTAAAGGAGATGAATTCTGAGGAAGAGTCACTGGCCATGTCACAAAAATACCAATTCCAAAAAAGTGTTAAATATACATGCACCAATTGACCAGTGAATATATTCTGAATCCCTTGGAGTTCATGAGCAAATAAATAAAAAAGTATTAAGGTATTAGGGGATAAAACATTGTGAACACAGGTGTTGCTGAATATCTACTGGCAAGATAGAGACTTTTGAGAGGGTAAAAAAGGGCCTGGCCCAGTTATAGCTGGAATAATGAGTGAGACCTTCGAAGATAGAGAGCACGCTCAAGATCTGAACGTACCAATTGACCAGTGAAATCCAGCTGTGACCAATTTCTCCCATTGACAAAGGCTAAACAGAGGTCTCTTTCTCAACCCCAAAGCCAATTTGCTGTGTGGATACACACCTCTCTATACACTCCTCCTGCTATCTTGGATCTCAAAAGCATGCTCCCATTCGCAAAAAGGCAATCCCTCTCCCTTTGACTCAGAGACGTGAAATCATTTCTTTTACTTTCAGTTTGGCAAACCTGCATTGATTGTATATACTGAAACAGAATACAAAAAGTCTAAAAATGCAGTATGAATGAGACATATCATAGGATGTGGTGACAACAAGGTAAGTGTCTGATAACAATGCTTGGTATTTGAGTGTATATGCATTTTTACACACACACACACACACACACACACACACACACACACACACACACACAC